TGTCAATCTTGCCCGTATCAATCAAAGACTGCACTACGTTCCCCATGCGCCTGCACACGCTCATCGTCATCGTCAAGACCCTTCATGATGCCTACCCTTTCACTGCCAACACCAGTGGGGTCTCGCCGAGATCGTTCTTGCTGTTGAGATCAAGTACCTCTACCAAGCCCAGGTCGGGGTCGAGCACGGCAAAGGCAGCCTCCTGCTGACCCTCCAAGAGAGCCACATGGAGTGGTGTGTCTACAGATCATATTAATAACCCCCTCAGCTAACCGAGGTAGGGCAGATAGTACTTCCTTCATCATCAGTGGCAGTGAATATAGAGGGACTCGACTTGCCCAGTAAAGTCACTGCCGACGGCTCGTTCAGCCTACCTACACGAACAGATCCGACTCCGACCACGTGTAGTGAATTTCCAATACCACACCCCTTTCGAAACCCTCTCCTCTCCTCCTACCTACACGCCCAATGCGCCACATTATCCCCAGCCTCGTCAGCGACCTTCAGATCGGCCCCTCTCTTGATAAGAGGCAGGAGGGCTCCTCCACCATGACGAACCGCATGGACCTGTTTTGTCCTGCACCCTTTCGAGACCACCCCACCCTTACAATAGGAGGTAACACCATCACCGCATCACGAACGTTAACGTCGACCTTCTTGCTATCCAATAGGACCGAAATTATCTAAACATGGTTCGCTAGCATTGGCGATGATGAAGTCCTCTTCAACACTAAGAGTACACGACTATTCAGCGGTGAAAGCGGCCCCACTTTTCTCGCCATCGAGGAGTCCATATGCACCGATAAGAAGCTTGTCGCTTAGCTCGGGCGTCAGTGAGGAACAAGTCACTATCGTTGTTAACAGAATCCCTTTTAGCAATGAAGACTCCACCATCCGGGACCAGGACAGACAGTAGGCCCTCCTGTCTATCTAAGACACCCCGACTGAGCCCCTACTGAGTAGGGGTCTCAACAAACTCACTGGACACAGCAATGGTCCGTACGGAACCCACCCCACTACTATCTTACGATGATCAAATGGAGCGGTATCGAGGACGGGGACACCTCATCATTACCTCATCATCTTCAGACTCTATTGCAGCGATAAGAGGAGTGACGCCTCTCTTGCCCACAGCATTAGCGTCCTCCACCCAGCTCAACTGACGAGTTACCTCCCCAGCTGACGAGCCACCCTTTAGAATCGTCTTAACCAATGAGTCCACTGTTGCGGACATACGAACAGGGTTGGACAAAAAACTACATGACGATCACATTGGGAGTAGTGAGTGTTCCCCCGTAAAACCCGAGACCAACCGCGGCATGCTGCGATCTCATATTAGAACCTTGCTATCCTCAATCTCATATAAGTGTAGCAATACGTGAGTGAGAATAAACTTTCATGAGACTTTATTCTTTCCACCTTCTACAGGGCTGGCCGCCTGAGGCTAAGTATAGAGAGTTGGCCTACATGAAGTTACCTTATTCGGCAGATGCCCACTATGCTCAGTTCCCTTCGATCGAGACCATATGTAGCGCTCACAGAAGGCCACCCACGCCGGTATAATGCATCGAGAGAAGAGATAGGTCAAGAGCCAACAAAACACGTACCTATACAGAGAGCGTAGCTGAAAAGGCCTAGGCTGTCAACCTTACTGAACAGGCCTGTAGAACCTACCAAAGTGCCGTAAAGGGCCTGAAAGGGACAACACTCTATTCAGAAGGGCAGCAGCCCGAGTATGGTTATGGTCACCTCCTGGGGGATGAGTCTGATAGTTGATCTGAACCAACAAGACAAAATGGAGAGGCTGCAATAGACAGGAATGAAATGCACCCGCGAGAGAATAACAGAACCAAAGTCTCGGCTTAAACACTGGGTATCTGCTTCACAATAACGGTGACCGCTGCGCCCATGTTATACTCACGTTCGCATAGCAATGAGAATAAAAGGGGCTAGCACCAGTACCCAATGCTCCAGATAGAAGTGGAAGGTCTCTGGCACAGACAACACCATAAACGCTACCCAAAGAGACTAACACTACGCATACAAGGCTCTACCACAATCAGAACCCACGACTATCCACTGCGAATTGCCCAACAGGTGGTATATTATCACCGAGAGGGTAGCCTCGTTTGTTGTACTCCTCCATCTCAGCAAAGACCAAAGCCAGAGCCACACCCCACATCAAGTGAAGGTACACGTTGAAAAAGTAGATGGACACCTTCCACCTCCGGGACCAGTAGATGACCCCAAGCCCAATGCAGAACACCTAAACCCATCGTGAATTCACTATCACAGGAACCTCTTACATGGCAGGGCTGCAAGAGGAACCAATTAGCCAGCACATCAGCTGAGGTCGAGCCTTCCCGACGAGCAAGGGCTGCCGTCGCCGTCTTGTACGCGATCACCCCAAAAGCCAACAGACTTGTCACTACAGCGTTGAGCAATTCTATCCTATCTGAGCGACGAGGGCAATGCTCTTCCCAATGGCCCCAGCGATACTCAAGAGACTTCCACAGGCCCTACACTGAGGAGGGCCCCACTTATCCCAATCCCAGGAGAGGAGCACACCTCGACAATGCTAGCTCAATACTTCCAGACAATTCAACATACCACATTTCCGACACCTCACAGCTCGACAATGGTAGCTCAATACTTCCAGATAATTCAACATACCACATTTCCGACACTTCCCAGCTCGACCCCCCTACTCATCTTAGCAGTATTGTCCCTCGCTGGCACTCTCAACACCCACTTTCCCCTACACCCAACACACTGATGAGTTATAGATGCCCATGATTACCTCATGAGCCCACCCACAATAGACGTCACGAATACTATTGAGTAAGTGAAGTATCCCAGCAGTTGCGTTGATGGCGTGAGGAACCACGAAGCGAAGCGTTCATCTCCACTCGAGTGCGCTCCACCATCCACACTAGCCACTTCCTAACAACGGCTACCTTAGCAACCATACCGGCACATCTACACCTACCAGGGACAGCTCTGGTTGGCAGTAAAACAACCATCGTGCTGCCGTCCTCAGAGGAGCGAAACTAATACTTGTTATTCCGAGTTCCTCCTCGCGCCGAAGGTAGTCCTCTGGGGCCAACGGTGCAGGTACACCTACAACAAAAGCGCGCGCCCGTCAGCGGAACCAGCATCCATTGTGAAGACCCTCACCCGCCTGCCCTCTGGTCCTATCAGCTCTCCATGCCTCCAGCACCATTGCAGTGATCAGCCATAACGTCATCAGCACCACTGGTAGGACGATACAGTAGGTCCATATAAAGGAATAGGGCCTCCACCGTTCATCGCCCTTCTCGGTGTTTTGATGTTGCATTGAAAACTGATACTAACACCAAGCGACCATAAATAGCAGGAACATCATTTTCATACTAAACTCGACACACATAGCAGCAGTAGGAACAATAAACGTTATGGTACTCAAAGGCCATCCCGACGAACTCTCTCCCCTATAACCCTTTCTATCTCCTTAGACACCTGAGTGGTCGCGGCGAACCCATAGCTTAGTATTTTCGACATATTCGGTTTAGTCTTATCCCTCCCTCCTCCCACCTCAGGTGACGAGGACAGTGACCGTAGAAGGAGCACCTACCAAAACAGCTGTCCCTGAGAATGGGGAGCTCATACGTCACTACTTCTTTCGAGACATAAGTCAAGCCAAGTGTGGTGAGATGCTGCCTCTCACTCTTGTCTCCATCGGGGAGGTCCTCGCCTAGTGTTGGGTCTGCCAACACGCAATTGCCTCTAGAGGCGATATTGACCACACTTAGAATGTCCGATACGTGCACCTGAAGCTGCTTTCAAACGACCCACAGAAATCACAGTCTTCAACCACGAAGAGACCACCCGCATAAGCCCGATAATAGAGCCTTGCAGAGGACAGCCCTCATGATGAAAGGAAGCCGTATCTCAGTGAGAGTGATACTTCCTAGAGAGTCCTATATAGCGCCCTCGAGAAAGGGCTACTACAACGGTTGAGACCCCGCGAATACCCCAACTTACACACAATGCCGTAGCAGTCATAGCAGCAGCCATAGCACACGGCAGTACTCGTTCGGCTGAGAAGCCACCAGGAGGGCAGGAGACAACCGACACATTCAGTGGGAGGACCTAAGGGCACTGGATAACCATACACTAGACTACACCCTTATACTACACTTTTAGGGTAATGCTCGGCCACCACTACTGCAGAGAGACCACTCGTGATAGTGTTGGAGAGGTCCTCGCAACTAGAAAGGAATAGTCAAACTAGAGGACCCTATCCATGATACTACATTGCATCTGCGTCCCTCTTCTCCTGCTCAGTTTTAGTGACACCCACAGAGGATGCTGCTACATTTACATCCAAGGCTAATCTATCGTGTTGGCGACCAACACCCACAAGAGCCCCAGTCGCTTGTCTCGGGCCCTACCAGCCAGCATTCAGCCATAGCGCCGGGCCAAGCGGAGCATACTACCGATGCTTTGGCGAAGACAATATAGTTTCCCCATTCTACTACTGCCGCACAGTCTCCTGCCAGTCGTATGTTGAGCCCAGATCTAACTCCAAAGGGGTTCACGGAACCTTCTACTCCCTTCTTAGTCTCGGACGACTCCGACTTAGGGAATGGACTATACCTACCAAAACGAGGGATTCCATAATGAGCAGCTACTAGAGAGGCGACTAGTACAGTGATACGTCAGCTGGCAGACCGAAGGCATGAGCCGTCGTCGTCGTCGTCATACTGAGCAATGAGCACTACAAGGAGAGCTCAGGGAGGGGGCACAACTACTTCAACACAACTGGGATATCCAAGAGACATTTGACTAGGCAACATCGACAATGATGGTATCAGCTTAACACGATAGAGTGCAGAATGAAGATATACGAAAACCCACAAACTGGCCTTGGGCGGCCTCTCGAGCGAGAGCGTGAGTATCATTATCATCTTTAGCGATAGTAGAAGTAGTAGCAGGAGAAGGACTTACGACGATGAAGAGGAGCTCCGGGGGGAAAGGAGAGACTGTGGCGGTATGGTAAAGGTAAGGAGATCATAATAGTACAGATATACGAGAAGTTCTAGAGAATGGCAACAATGAGAACAAATCAGGAGCTCACTGAGCTCCTCCGAGAGCCGTTAAGCAATTTAAACTACTTCATGAATCTGCCCTCAGTGCCGTTGGTCTGCCATCTATCATCAGGTTGGGCCGACCACCCAGGTGGTGGGCTGGAATCCAAATGATTGTATGCATCCTGGGCAAACTGAGGGAGCAACAAGAGCAAGCCATGTACACCATCATATGCAGCCAATCCCCCTCCCCACTACCTGAAGAGCAGACGAACAAGGCTGTCCCGAGAAGTAGGTGGCCGGAGCACTGAACCCTCCAATAGAACTAGCGGCATCGGACCAGCCTTCTAGAGGGAAGTTGTCCAGAATCACCTGCCACAAGAGCTTACTCTTGTCCGCCAACACCCCCACTACTACTACCGACGAAGGATCTTCCTCGTTACGCTGAAGCTCGGCTAATGCTGTAGCAAGGAGGCTAGGCTCCCCAATCGCACAGAGGTCGGCCAAAGCATTATCATAGTTCATACCAGCGTCACTAGATGCAGCAGTCAAAGTCGTTGGTCTCTCAAAAACCGGCTCAGAGAGCTGATAGTGCCTCGAGCGGTCCCCAGAAGAATGTGACATATGAGGGTGGTGCTGCTGCTGATGACCAGCCGAACGATCCCTTTGGAACCTACTCTAAATGTGAGCACAGCAAGAACAACCTCCTTCTCCTCCTCCTCGTCCTCGTCGTCGTCCTACCATGGTCTGATCTGCTTGTTTGACTGCTGCATTACACTAGATGTCCGGAAGTGGTCCATGAGCTGCTTCGAGCCTTGGAGTCTCGCAAACGTAATTCTGCATATCTGCTCGCACTCATTCAGAGAAGCGCAAGGCCGAGGACGCTACTACCTTCTCCGAGTTGAACCTCTCCCACTTCTTACCATCGAGCGCCCGTACCAACGCGGGAATACCTTCATAGAAAATTACACCCCCGAAGATCGAACCCACGCCCATCGCAATGAGAACAAGATGCATTACCACTCGGACAACTGATCGATCCATAACTAAGTCTTACTTGTTCGCGGGTTAGAAAAGTCAATGAAGGCGTAGCCAACATTGCATTTATTTCGAAAATCCATCGGCAGATAGAAGAAGTCATACTGTCCGCATATGCTAGGTACCTGGTAGGCAAATATTCCTTTTTCCCCTAAGGCTGAGGCAGGAACTCCGTACGACTCACTATAGCTTCCCACTCTAGGGAAGCCACCAACCCGACACTCCTCTATTACCGAATCGAATAGCTTGAGGAGCATCTTCTGGGTGTACTTGTTAGGAATATTCCGAATCATACAAGTCGTTCGTGGGTCCGCACCACTCGCCACTTTGCCCAAGTCTATCACGAACTGCGAATTAGGAACCGCAGTTGTTTTGGGATACTTGCGGCTGCTGCCCACCGACTCAGATACACAAGCTAAGAAGGATAAGCCATATGACACCCGAGTGAACCTGAGATGCTCACAGGCTTTTTCTGGCAACTCAGGAGGAGGCGCAACAGATCCGCTTCCACTCTCCACAGGGACCACTCGTGGCTGTTGGTACCTCATCAAGATCACTAAACGGAAGCGACATATTAAGTCATCATCGCTCACCCCATCATGGCAGCTCGCTGAGCTCCAGAACAAGAGCCTCCAGAGGAACCAGGAGTATGTAACCCTCCAGCTCTATCTAATCAACACCATACATACCACGATTAGCCCGATCAGCAAACCCTATACTACCTTTGCTAGGGCCTGTTAACGATACAGATCGCGGCCGCAGTACTAAAACGAAGGTCAGATTCAATCGTAACTTTCCTCCCCCCCCCCTCCATCAATACTACCAGGTCCTGTCGCGGGCTTTAATTTCAGCCCGGGAGCCCCTACAGAGGCATTTATCGAAGCACAGGCTCTCGAGTCGTAAAACTCTGCAACTATGGAAGAGTCCTAAACACAAGTGCATAGGTGGAAATTCTGGTACCACAGTCTAGCACCTGGAAGCTCATTCGGCGAAGATCTCCAAAATGGCGTAGTTCCGCACGAATGGTATCGAAACTGTCAGCGTCGCTGATGCTGAGTACCACTTCCCGAGCGTCCTCATTTCCGGGAATTGAAACGTATTCCGCTGACGCTGATAAGTCGGCCTTGAAAAAGATGACAATACAGTTTCACCCTAGTGATATGAAAAACACTAGTGAAAAACATATTTCGCGACTACCACAGGGCGCGAATATCGCGTTTTTCACCGAGTTTTACGCTGCTTCACGTAAAACGGGTGAAAATCCGATGTTGAACCCGGGATGCCCCTCTGCGGTACCTCATTGAGTCTAGTATATGCTCGTTGAGCAGCGCGAAGATCGAAGTAAACAACCACAACGGTGTGGTCTAAATGGAAGTTCGAAAAATCGATCCATCGTATATCGCCAATCTGAAAAGTAGACAATCCAATAAGCCTAGTAGTGACATCCCAGACCTTATTCAAAACTTCGAAAATTTGCCCTGCCTGAAGTGCCTCTTCTTGATGCTGTTCCCGAGTTGGAGGGAACAACACTTGGATGCAATCAGTAGCAGCAGCATCATCATCCGATGACGATATTTGACCGTCTAAGGGCTCTACACACATACTAAGTTTGGAAGCATACAAAGGGCTACCGTTAGAGCCGTCCCTGGCCGAATCCCCCTTGTTTAAGATCTTGAAAGTGGGAGAGAAGTCGGACACAGCCTCTGGTTGCTGCCCGGCCGCCTCCTGAGTGTCGGCTGTCGAGGACATTGGTTCCAAGACCTTCAATAAAGTGGATACTCTCAAGACTACGTAGTACTCGTCTGTGCCAATCAGCTGTCTATAGCGTCCTAACTACGGGAGGTCGACTGAATCCTGCCTTAAAATGCTTCGAAAACTGCCATATTTTCTGAATGCTTCTGGTGACGATTGCGCTCGCCCTGCCAACGCAAGATGACGACGACTGCGAGGCGCTATAAAATTTAAGTGTACGTAGAGTGTACGACTTTGGAGTACTGACCATATCCTCCTACGAGACTCGTGACTCTCCACAATATGACATGCTCGAATGGTAGAGCGTGTAATTCTCCATCACAAAGGCGTGAGTTCAAGCCCTGGATATGTTGACTATATTCGAGCCAATATGACTGCCACAAAGCGAAAGCAATGCTGTCACAGCATAAAATCTGACGTGTCTCCAATGACTCCTCGTACGGACTCCACGTTTGAACCCAGCTGTAAAAGTCATTCTGCTATACAATAAATGTTCCGTGTTCACTGCTCAACATGCGTTTTTTGGTGTACGCTACTACGCCCCGGGCTTTATGCTCGTCAAAGAAGGGGAAGTGGTGCATCTACGACCTGCGCTTTACGTGCGCTAACTTTCGGTAAGGTCCTCTCCACTTTCCTTGATGGTTGAATTCGGAGTTGCTTCATGATCACAGAGTGAATCATGACGCTCATCTAACGCAACTCCTGCTTTATTATAAGAATCAACTTTTCTCCGCGGATTCCGGCTCGCCTGCCTCCAGTCTTCGCTTCTTCCTTGCTAAGTATCTGTTCGTCAAAGACTCACTACCCTGCCTCGTCACCGTCGTGATATCACCTTTCTTTCGCACTCATTACTCGATCCTCAAGGTTGGTCTCAGCCGACATGGCCGACTCCACTTGTTCAAGAGCCTAACAAGATGATACTGTCGATTCCTTATGTGTTCCTATCACCTTCATATTAGCCTGCAGAGCCTGTTTGGCCAGTTGCTCATCACTACCCATAATAGCTCCACTGCGATCCTTCGGAATGTGATGTGGTAGCACCTGATGAGCTGTTAGAAAAAGCGCTAGTTAAAACCAGTTCCATGCTTACCTTCGGAATGGCGTCCAACTTGACTCCATCACTATCCTCAACCTCCTTGAGTACCCCTTCCTTCTTTTCCTCCTTTTCATCAACCTGCGGGTTAGAGACTCCTCTAAGGATCACATACGAGGCCCACCTGCTGCTTGTCGTCCAAAGCCTCAGCCTTCTCCTGGTCCTTCTCGTCGGCTCTCTCCCGATCAGCCTCATTGGCATTGGATCGGGCGAAGCGGCCCTAGAGACTATCATGTAGTACCCTCGGAACAGCATCGCTCCGCTATTACACTCGACAGGAGATTACGAAGGAAGTTCTGACTACTCCTTTTCTCTCCCTCTTGTTCTTTGCTCTCCTCTTTCAAGCGCTCCTCAAACCTGCATACAATGTCCACTGTAGGGCCCTTGAGACCCCAGAGGGTCTTGCTGTTACCTTTTCAGTTCCTCCTGCTTCTTGATGTAAGCCCCGGTGACAAAGGCCTCTCCTTCGTCACCAATCTCATCCTTGGCCTTCTCCCGTTCCTTCCGGTTGAATTTCATTTTTATCAGGTCCGTCTCCTTCGCTCGATGATCAGCCGTCAACAGTATCTACTCTCAAGAGTATCACCACATATTCTCCCTACCATCAATCCTACATGATCCATATGCTTAGAGTGCTTGTTCTTGAAAGCATCCTGGGCATGTAGCGCTCCTTCCTTGGTTACGTGGACGAGCCCTGGTCGGTTGAGGGCCTTCGTTGGCGATAGCGGCTCTAATAGCCACACCACAGGTCATTCCCCATGCGTTCTTGAGAAAGGATACTACTCTCTTTTGGTCGTTCCCGCCGAAGCCGTTCACTCGAGCCGCTGTCGAGACTGGAGACCTCATCTTCATCATCTTGCTCCTGATCGTAGTCGAATACACCAGCGGCCGCCATGTTGCTGATCTCCGTCTTCTCTATCTTGGACAACTGAAACAAGCGATAATTGCACTTCGAGCGTGATCTGCAACCACATTTGATAGGCCGAGTCGCGCAAACTCAGTGGGGAAATATTCACATAGTCAACCACATGTGTTGGGGACAGAATGGAAATTCTGAAGAAATTCCGGGACATTCTTATTGGACTCTGAGCACTTCTACCAGAATTCGTATATAAGCTTCTATAGTCAATGAGTATATTCCTCCAATACGAAGTCTACCAGCCTACCGAGGCCTGTGTTGAGATCAAGGGAAGACTTTGCCCCGGTACTCCAGATCCCGAAGAGCGCTCTTCCTCTTGCATGGACTCTGCGAATAACGCCTAGTCGATGAAGATTCGAGCGATCATACTACACCGACCATATTACATTCACTGCTGTAGTTGGCTGCGGTCGCGCCTTCGCTTTAGGTTTGCTTTTCTTCAATGAGAGTGTGGCGAAGTGGCCTGTAGTCTTTTGTGGGCCAAGTTGAAAATTCATCACCGAAATCGAGAGACCCCCAATCTAATCAACTAAGCAAACCCCCTTCGGCCACCGTTACTACTACGGCCACCGTTACTACTACTAGCAACTCAAGAGCTCAAGAAGCGAATGTGGATAGTATGGCTATCGAACAGAGGCATCAATTGTCTTGTTAAAACAGAAACAGACAGAAAATTCCTTTAACAGCCATCTGCCTATCAATCTACGTAGTAGTGTGAACTGGAAGTGATGACCAGACTCATTATTCAGCTCGGCCTTCAGTGAACTTACTCGCTATAAACATGCTTCTTATTACTCCTCCTTATGCTCACCCTCAACAGGCTTGTTCACGATAGGCTTCATAGCGGGATAGAGGATAACCTCCTTGATGTTGATGTTATCAGTGAGGAACATGCAGAGCCTATCAAGCAACATAAAGGCTCCATAGGCTCAGCTATGAGGTGGTACTACCTATCGACACCGAGACCCCAGCCACCAGTGGGGGGAAGACCATACTCCAACGCTGTAACGAAGCTGTTATCAACATCACACGCCTCGTCATCTCCCTAAGAGAAAAACCAGATGCTGACCGTTCCGGAAGGTTGTTGTACGCAGTTACCGCAGCCTTAGCCTGAGCCTGGGCGGTGAAGCAAGCGAGCTGCTTCACAGGGTCGTTCAACTCCGTATATGCATTGCATATCTCCTTACCCATTACGAAACCCTCAAACCTGAATATCAATACATACCATCGTACTCATATGCATTACCTCTCAGTGAGGCCGGGCTTGGAGCGGTGCCACTTGGCTAGAGGGGACATGATCTGGGGATGCTCTGTGACGAAAGTGGGACTCACTATCTTGTCCTGAAAAGCGAACAGGATAAAATTTTGTACTCCAAATATAGATACTCAAGACGGTGAAATTTTCAGCCGAAGATTACCCCTAGCACCACTCACCTCAATGAAGAAGCCACAGAGCTTGTCGAGAAGACGAGCAGAAGTCCTGGGAGCAGGGCATTCCACATCAAACTTGGTAGCCAGCTCGTCCAGCTGCTGACGAGCCTCCTCAGCGGCGAAATCACGATTAAGCGATACACCGGATTGACGCTCGATCTCTTCAACCATGGACACCTATAGAGTGACCATCAAGCCAGTGAACATACAAGGGCATGCCGTACTCTCTTCCATGGGGGAGAGAAGTCAATCTCCTTGGCAGGACCCTCAGGGCCTTCAGGATGGAAGGTGACCTTGTAGGTGCCAAAGATGGACTTAACCTGAATAACACAAGCTACTCGGCGAGCAACTGTAGTCGACTTACCATTCCAGAGATCATTTCCTCGGTCATGTTCATGAGATCGTTGTAATCAGCATAGGCCATATAGAACTCACAAGAGGTGAACTCAGGATTATGGGTTAGATCAATACCCTGAGAGAATGCATGCTCGCCTTAATGACTGATGTACATGAGGCTCACCTCGTTACGGAAGTTCTTGCCGATCTCGAAGACACGATCAAGGCCGCCAACGACGAGCATCTTGAGGTAGAGCTCGGGAGCGATACGCATGTACAAGTCCAGGTCAAGCTCGTTGTGATGGGTGATGAAGGGCTTGGCCGAGGCACCGCCGGCGATCATGTTCATCATAGGAGTCTCGACCTCCATGAAGCCACGATTGCCCAAATAGCTGAGGGGACACGATGAGGAGAAGGAGTGGTAGGAGAGCCTACCTGCGGATGTAGCCGATGATCTGAGATCGTCTCTGGAAGGTCTCTCTCACATGAGGGTTCATGATGAGATCGAGATATCGCTGACGGAAGCGGACCTCCTGGTCCTTGAGGCCGAACTGGGCCTTAGGGAGCATATGCATGCAGGTGGACAGTAGGCGGATCTCCGAAGGGAAAATAGAGAGCTCACCACGCTTCGACTTGCCGACTACGCCTGAGTATTCACAATCAACCTGGGCAGAGATACGAAAGTTAGCTTACCCTTAACACCAATGATGTCACCACGATGGACCTCCTTGTGGGCAGTGGCAAAGTCAACATCACCAGTCCAGTCTTGAGCGACAGACATGACCTGAAGATACTTCAATGACCAAGTTGGGGACTGCAGAGTGACCTAACCTGAATCTTATGGCCATCCTCCCAGAGATCATAGAAAACCATATGCTTGCCGCTCTCACGCTTGGACATGGCGCGACCAGCCAAGCACACAACCTGATGATGAATGAGTAAGCACCAAGTGAAAGGGAAATTGAATGTTCCCACATCGGCGGTATGCTGACCAGCCTCGAGGTCTGTGTACTTCTGAGTAACTTCAGCCACAGTAGAATCGACTGGCCACTTGTGGGGGTATGCTTCTCGACCAGAGGCTCGGATGGTGTCGAGCTCAGCCAAACGGTTATTCCGGTACCTTCCCAGAGCACATGTTAACCCCATCGAAGAGCCCTACGTACTGGGTGGGATCCAAATCCTCATCGCTGACCTTATCAACCTTGGCGGCCTGCAGTAGGGACCACGTCCAAACCACACATGATCGCGTCATTACTCACCTTCTGCGCGGCCATCTTAGCCTCGCGCTCGGCCTTCTTGGCAGCAGCCGCGGCGGCCTTAGCCTCACGGGCCAAACGCTTACGTTCGTGGGCGGGGAGCTTTTGGGGAGTCTCAGTCGACTCTGAGACATTCAATTTTCCTACCATAACTCTTCCTCAACCTCTTCTTACCGTTGGCGACTGGTGCTGCGGTGGCAGCAGTGGAATCCTCAGCAGGAGTAGTCATCAGTGAGCGATAGTGGAGTATCGGACGGAAGAAGCTTAAAGACGATCGAAGATAATGAGTGTTTCTGTAGAGAGCCGCTGTGGCCTTTGTGATTGTCAAATGCATTAACTGCCCGCAGAGCGGACAGTCCTCGAACTAACACCTCTAAACTGTTCAACACAAGGCCGAGGAGTCAGACTAAATCGACACCTTCACGACTTGCATGAGAATCGTAGGAATACTTGCCTCCCCTATCGAGATGACAATCGATTGAAAAGAGGAGCGCGATGAGTTACGACGTCAATTTTTCAACTGCAGGAATGAATCAGTTTCAGTTAGCGCTCGCCCTCCCGCACTATCCGGGTGGGAACCGTCATAGGGAAAACAGCCATATCCGTAGGTGTAAACCACTTCTAAGAGGGGTCACTGCCTCTTTAGATAATGGACCTCAACTCAAGGATTACAAGCTCCATTCTGCTATGATCAATCGTAACACGTAAGTTGTATGAAGATTCTCGAGCTCTCGGCAGAGACGAAAACGAATTGAGCGCACATCCAAGTTTCCTAAGGCGATCTGTTGAGTCCGGGAGACTCCCCATAATCCTCCCAGCCTCCGAGGAGGAAAATGATTTTACGTTGAGTGCGTCATCAGTCGTAATAAAGGATGCTTTTGAGTCGACGATCATTTGCATCAGTCAAGGTCTCTGTAGCTCTGCCGATTTCCGTCAATCCTCTCCAAATGCCTTCATCCATCAAAGTTGCATTGCAATACCTTGGCTTATGCTGTCTGTGCGTATACCCTGTCCAGTCCTCGGGCGTTTCCGATGAATTAGACACGCTCGACGTCATCAGAGAACGAGAAGTACTGTACGCAAGCTCAAAGAGAGGCGTAGAATACATTTTCATACCGAGGAATATACCTGCCGTGACCAAGCGTAGCGAAGCGGTGCATCATGGCGTAACCAAATATTTCAAAGAGTTTTCTGGGAGAATCCGAAGTCATGAGCAGGGAGCAGACAATCTGAATCTCACAGTGTTCGATTACATACCCTACAATTGCGCGCAGGAACGATGCATGGATGCCGACTCGGGCAGCGTTCCCCGGAAGGCACTGATCCTCCGAGTGGCGGATGGCGAGACCTCAGAATATGTGGCTGACGTTGTTCGCGACGGAACCTGTTTCAACCGAATCGAACCCGTGAGGTACTCCTATGTGAGGGCAGCGAACAACCAAGTCAGCGAAGCTCCATCCCAAGTGAAAAGCGAACTGGAGGACGTATGCGCGAAAGGATTCATGGCTCTGAAGCCATCCTATAGTTTACCAGATCTCCACGGCACCTACGTAGGCAGCCGTGATGGAAGAAATCTCACGCTTGGATTTTTCCGCGGCGTTGTCATGGACGCTAAGCTGGAACTGGATTCGACCACCCGAGCCAATCCCTTCGCTACGTATGTGCCGATCTGCGACGGCGTAATATCTATTATTAACCGGGGATCGGACTTCAAGAGTCTCACACTCACCGTTCTCAAAAAGTCCACAGCGTACATGGGGGTTCATTGGCAGAAGGGACGTGACGGAGACACGGTGTTCATGCAGCGGCATCCGCTATGTAACATGGAGGAGCACGGAAGGAGGAACCTTTCTAAGTACCAGCTTCACAGGTGGGATCAGCAATCACCAGATGCTTCCATCCTCGGACGACGTCCTGTTGAGCGGAAGTGAGCGCAGTTGCGAACAGAGATGTCACTAACGTTGTCAGGATGCAGCTGGATGTATCTGCAGCCTACCCGGCACTTATCCCTGTAGATGTTCAATACTTCATTTGTTGAGAGCCGTGATGTTAGGATGTTGTTGGAAGCGATGAACACGTGAGTCGTGTGACGCGACTGATGCTCTGTTGTGTTCATGAAGTAAAGCATAGTCCCCGGCTAGACGACTCCTCCCTGCATACAGCCGTTCCGAACTACATCCAAGATTCGACATTGACAGTAGTTTGGCACTAGTACTGCCGCCCTATCCCTGTGAACCTCTCACTCGAGCAATGTTCGCAGCGTCTCGAGATCACCAAATGACTTTACCATATTACTGAAAGCTCGTAGCGGAGACAAGCGAGATCCTTCCGACTGTTGCAACGAGATCCGAGTGTTGAAATGGAATTGTTGGCGCGGAGTTTGACCACAGGCCCGATCTCATCCCACCTAGCGGGATATTGTTCAAATTCGTCAGACTTCCTTAGAGACGAGCACAGACCCGTCCTACTCGGTTTCTTCTATCCTCTGTACGACCACGCTATCAGGGAACGTTTTGTTGGCACTAGGATTAATGGCTGCCCCTCATCATGATGTGGGTGGAATGAGAAACGATGTAAGCCGAATGCTATAGACGATCCAAACGAAGTGACATTAGTAGGAGTCGCCCGAACCAAGATGCCTCAACAAACACTCATGCTCCATAGAGTTCGGAAGTCCTCCTCGCAGACAGGACACCGAAGCTAGTGATAGGCTGTCTCGCTCAGTAAGTCTGCATCATCACCATGGCTCAGCTCCTCTTCTGAGGCAATCCCGTTCCTCGAGGGGGAACTCGACAGGACCTTGCGGAGTCTTCAACAGGATAGGTTGGAATTGAGTGTGGAGAACATCGAGTTGGAAGAACGAGTTGAAGTGACGAAAATCGGTGAATACCCGATGTCGCGATCGATCTAGGAACTTCTCAACGAGCAAGCTGAGTTACGGAAGTTAAGGCTCCAGAAGCCTGAGCGACTCGGCGACCAGAGAAAGCACGAAACAAGTCACCTCGGTTCAGGGCCAGCCGAAGATCCTGAGTGAGCCAGCTTGATCGCATCCCTGACTATGGCCCATAAAATGCTCATGGCAAACATTGCTCTTGTTACTGTACTTGTTCGCAGGATCCTGCGGCGACGCAGGATGAAATTTGAGACATGCTACGCCGAGTTGGCTGGGCTGCGCGAGCAGCTTGAGTGTCTTAGTACAACTGATCGTACCTCTATCGAAGATCATCGTGCAGTCGGTAAGGAGCCTCCAGAGGGTGCGAACAGCACAGATGTTACGAGCGTATTCGTTGACTTGGGTGAGCAGCTTCGAGCAATGTGGCTTCCCTCGGAATGCTATCGATTGTTCAGGATGCGAGAAGCTCAGATCTGTCGCCACGGAGTTGGAATCCGAGATCTCTACCTTGGGAATTTTGAAGCACCGCTCCGACTTAATGTGAATATCCCAGAATGGCACATCACACAACCCTTCTTTCAGGAAAGAGGAGGCCCGGCGGAGAACTTTTGAGCTCGCGCTGGAGAAAGAGATCCTGACGAGGAGAATCGGGCGGCTTGAAAACGATCTTCACGAGCGAGATAAGAGGCTCGAGGCTCTGCTGGTGGCACTGTCTCCGCTCCTCTTCCTGCTCTATGGTTGTGGCCTCCGTCTCCAATTTTACTTTATTTGTGATAGCCATCGAGGATCAAGCGCAATCTTGTCCCCGGTGCCATCATGAGATACTCAAAGCGTTTGTTCAGGAGGCATCAGTTCATTCTGAAGGACCAATCAACGATGGAGATCCTCAAGCAGTGCATGAGTATATTCACCAACTCGAACAACGTATCGAGAAACTTGAGGATGAAAACGGCAGGCTCAAGTCTATGCTGGAGGAGGACAATGTGAGCAGCTCTATCTGTATGCCCTGGCTCCCCTCCCGGAAAAACTCAGATGCGTGGTTCACAGTTCGACAACTTCTCATTGGATTTGGCTGAGGCTAAGCCGCCGACGCTATATGAGCGTTATCAGCGATGCTTCGAGTGTACAGAACATCTAAAAAGACTGCTGAAGTCAAGCAAACCATCCCCGACGCAAAGCGAGATAAGGGGCTCAAATGGACACCGTTGCCCTTCAACCCCCAAAACTGAGCACGTTGTGAGTGATACCAAACAGGAGGTTCAATCATCCTCTCAAAATCGACTGACTAGTGACTTCAACAGTCGCACCAAGAGGGTACGAATTCACAAGCGAGCCCTGCCTAAAAGAGCCGAGACAGTAAGACTCTCTAGTAGCATGCGAGAGCCTGTGCCGCATCTGCCGTTCAAGTGACGAGATCATTACATGCGATGTGCCTTCATGAGCTCAGGCCGTATCTTGTTCAACTAGTTCAATTGTGTTTCAGAGTTGCTATCAGCCTCACGAGCCTCATGAGGGACCATGATTTTCGGGTTTCTGACTACGAAGGAGTGCGTTCACTTTCTTCCTGTGCGACGATACGATGCGAATTGCACTTATCAATTTCATTCAGTATGTTCCCTAGTCACGCCACCATCTCGAATGTGGTCCGAGTTTGCGATTGCCAAAATAAAGTCCCACTCGCTCAACTCGAATCTCAGCAGAGTCATGAGAAAATCAGATAGCGATCCTTCTGTAACCGAATCACATAGAGAACAAATCGGCAATAGAATCACTCAGGAGCATCAACATAGCGCAGATAAGGCTTTCCACTGGGCAAATCCTTGATCTCGAGATTCTTAAAACGCTTCTGAGCCTCCTCCGTAGCGACGTTCGGAGCGACGATAACACGTTCGCCTTGCTTCCAGTCAACCGGAGTGGCGAGACTGAAGTCTGCTGTGAGATGTAGACTGTCGAGGGTGCGAATGAGCTGAAAAGCAGCACGTCAATATCACACTGAGTGGCACTTCAGGGAAGCACAGAGCAATCTACTGACCTCATCATAGTTTCGCCCAGTAGTAGCGGGATAGACGATAGAAAGCTTCAGCTTGTGATCAGGCCCAATGACGAAAAGGGCACGAGCAGGTAGAGGAACTCCAGCGGCATCTTTCTCGTTGGGATCCAACATTCCAAGCATACTCACCTGACAAGACGCAAGAGAACTCACCACGATAATGCAGGAGCACACCCACGATCTCTCTATCGGGATCCGCGATGATGGGATAAGACAGATCATCTCCTGGCATGTTCTGATAGGCGAGCACGTCCTTACTCCAAGCGTGGTGGTCCGGGACACTGTCGCAGGAAATGCCTGAGAGCTGAGGAACTCACAAGGCGAGCATCGATGAGAGGAGTGCATACCGATGAGCTTCACTCCGCGCTTGGTGAATTCGTCCTTGTTCTTCTCCAACTTTCCCAGTTCAGTGGTGCAGACTGGAGTGAAGTCCTTGGGATGCGAGAACAAGATCTACCAGAGATGTGCCACCACTACACAGAGACAGCGGAAGTGCTCACCGTGTACGGCTTCTTCGGATCACTGTCAAGGAACTCGTGGAATTTGAAGTCACCCTTCGTGGTCTTGCAGTCGAAGTTGGGGAATTCGGCACCGAGCTTCTGCTTGAACTCCGGCATGAACAAAGAACAATTCCACGGCAGTCAACTGGCAATGAATAACGGAAGAACTTCAAGACGCTGCTTTAGATTGTCTTAGCACAGCCGAACTTGATACAGTTGAACAGTTGATAGTCTCGATAAGTGGTTCAATTTCAGCATGAACCTGTTGATAATAGTACGATGGAGTTTTCGGTGCCTAGACAAAAATGCTGTTAAAATTGCGCATCCAGCAAATCATCACATATCATAATACGTCATGCCTAAGAACTAATCATCGTAACCTGTCGCATTCGGTGAGCAAGGGCCAGCAGTGAGTTTTCAGCCGGCTGCGACATCACGATTGGAGCACCCTTCACTGCACATAATTTGACGCCTGCGTACACCGCGTATGCGTATTGTTGAGCATTTGTGAGTAGTAAGATTTGCCTCAATCGTAACGCGCGCGCCTGATTTTGCGTCGTAGAAGAGCATAACTCCCCGTCATCACCAAGTACGTGGACAATAGGATTCGTATGACCTCACCTTAGTGGATACATGCGTGGTCAACAGAAAGAACGGTACTGTAGTATCTAGAGTGCCACAGATCGTAGAATCGATCGAATCTAGAACCGATACCCAATCGACACGTCTATAATCTTTGCCCTACTGAATCATTTTCACACCTTGATGATGTCGTAGGCATACCAAGATGATGGTGCTTTCTGGAGTAGATTTTGTAAGACTTCCTTTAAATGGAACCGGGACACCCGCGGCCACTAAGATGCTGTAAAAGGAGGTCTGTAGTGACCAACCTGAATACATATGCTCGGTGAGTATTCCTTCTACCCTTGCTTCTGCAGTCACTCGCTCATCAGGAGGTGGACCAACTCTAGACTTCGTATTGCAATGATCTGCCCTCAGCAAGGTAACCTCTACCTCCTTCCGGGCGGTGTGGCTATCACGACACGCCAGATATACCTCCACACGCCTTGGATGCGGCCGATGGGCTGTGCTCCCAAGGGCACTCAGTCACGGTGTATTGCACTAAGGCTCCTCTTAGGAGAGTCAAAGGTAGAGGAGAATACTTCCTCTATTAGCAAACTATGCACTTTTGCAGATTCCCCATCACCACAGTATTGCCAGTGTGATATCGGCATCTTGAGTAAGACCGAATCGGGGTCAGTAGTAGCAGCGTTTCGATACATTGATTTCAGGATTGCTCTTGCTGATACCACACCCCATCATGGGGATATTCGTCTTATTCCTCCGTGCTCTGTGCATGACAATTCGGATGTTCGTTGCCTCCTATTACTACGACGCCATCATGCTGTATAATGTGAGCCCATGGAGCCCACCTATGATCACTGAGATCGTCCATCTCAGACAGCAGATCGCTCAGTAGATCTCTCAACAGTCGTCCTCTTCCCCTTGTCCCTCTGTGGCCTCCATCTCGTCTATTGCTGGTGTTCCGGTCGTAGTGATGGGCGTCATCACGCCGATGGGAGGTATTACGGCATGCGGTCATTTTATCACTTCTGCTTTAGGATATGCCCAAGCCGGAAGTGCCAAAGAATGTATGAGAGGCTAGTTGTGACATACGCCTCAGCCATCATAGTCGACAGCGAGCCCCGCAAAGAGTGGTGCGAGTCGTGTTATGGCAGGAGAGTTAGAGATATCATGGTAAAGTGGGAAGGAGGCTTAGGTATTATGTTATTGATCGATACATAGGTGGCGTATCGGCCTGTGGAAGCCCGTGGACACTGTATGAATCGACGGTCGCTGCTCGAAGTGGACCGCACGTTGGGTTCTCAGCTTGGAGACAGACCGTAAGTGGAGGGCAATGAGGCATCACATGGGAACCTGGATAACTTGTTTCTACGCCAACAGCGAAAACCACCTCATTCAATGACGAGTCTTTCTGCACCCCTCGGCGGAGCTCAGTCTCGCATAGACAATACGTTCCATCACGCATGGGACACCTAGGATTGACTTGTATTAGCTGGGATAGATGTTCATCTCGAGCAGTCATCCATTCCCGTTTATATAAATTGCGAGAGCATAATAGCTGTATTAATCGACGTTTGTAGCAGTGCATGCTGGTGATGCATTCAACGCTGCACCTCAGGTTCATCCTGGCCATCGTCAATCCGTCTAGATCGGATGAGATGAGCCTGACAGTGGATGGATACGCGTAAGACTAGGTCTCAGAGATGCCTCGCAATTAGCGCTGGGTCTCGTAGGCACTACTACCACAACCCTAACCGTTTGCTGCCGGTGAATAAGGCATTAGGTAAGCTTGTGTGGGCCGATACGGATCACTGCAGTTTTTTATCGATGGTTGTGGCTACTTATGTCTATCGAGTAGCTCATCAGACTCACTTGTTGAAGCTCTGATGAGGCAATTACTCCCTTATTGTTGAGGAAAAGGCGAGAGCTTCGTTGGTACAGCTCAACAAAGGGAGCACAATTTTGAGATCTATCGTAGGTTTCAACTGGTTATGGAAGTGTTATGAATTCAGGAGCCGAAGTTATACACAACACAACGTCCAGGCCAGCAGGGCAGGCTAGCACGCTTACCTCACCAGCTGCTGTGATCTCCCCAGTGTCCTCGGATGCTACATTCTTCTTGGATACCGTAACTGGGATGTATCAAGAAGAGAGGGATGCCTCTCTTGGTAGTGGAGACAGCGAGCCACTTTCAGAACACGTAAACACGACTGACTGTTGTGAGTCTCAAGGGTCTTCCTTAGGAGGAGGGCTCGACTGGATGCGTGCATTCATCACCGGTGGCCTTCGATCCAGTGGCTGTTGCCGCGGGTGAGCTCGATGCTGCAGTTGTTGCGGCGTATGACTGGAATGGTGACGATTCGTAGGTCTGCCACCTCCACGTTTAATATTGGCATGTTGTGAGGATTCCCCTGATGGGTATGGACTCTCATCTATTGCTGGCCACTGGCCACGAGACAAGTAATAGGAAATGATGTCTATCGGGGGATTGATTACCAATGGAGGTACTCTTCAATGGAGGACATGGCGGCCTTGTTGGAGAATGAGGTCACAGCAATGTGCCTTAATGCTGATGACGATGTGAAGGTGTTATCAATCTCGTGGAACAGTCCGGAGCTCGATTGGCTATGCTATCAGTGAGGCAGGGGGAGCTCGTTGTAGGTATAGTATGGGATGGACGTTTTCAGTGCTACTGTGGGTCTCTACACGCCTTTGGATACCACTGACCCGGCAATGCTAATGCGGTTGATGGGTTGTGGACGCCCAGTCATCTCGACACGAGGTCAGCACGACTCGGAAGGGCTCATCAACATAAGTGAGATGGTAGCTGGGTGTGTTCTAGCTGATTTTCATACAGATGCCGGATGTGTGGTGGATCCTCCGTCAGCTCAAGGTCTTGGTGTCGCTCTTGTTGCCCTATTGCACCATACACCAGTGGGAATATTGGAAGGGATGGGTGCCATGGCACTCGAACGATTAGAGAGTAAGTGGACGACGATTGGCCTCAATAGACAGCGTTGAACCGATGGGAAGATGTTTCAGTATTTTTCGACGTGGCATCAGTTCGGGGGGAATCACTGATGTCAACTGGATTGAAATCGTGCATTAAGTCATGTCCAAAGTAGTCGCACATATTTTACTCGTAAGGCATCCTTACGCCTTCTCCGTTTATAGTATGAATTTCGAGTGGACTATGACTCTCACAATTCCTGGGCATTGGTCTCCACAGTTTGACGTGGTTAATGGAGATTTGATGAGAATACGCGAGTCGATCAGGTCGATACGGCTTCAGTACATTCAGCCAAAGCCTCGACAGCTTCATTGAACGTAAGCTTTTCACCAGCGGCGCTGGCGGACGTGGGCCACCGACGAACATGGCAGCCCATCCATTTCCCCGCATCTCCCCGGTGTCGATTGCCTCCGCTGAAGCCGGCGAGAGAACGGCAACGCCATCCGGAAGCATTCAGGCCGGCAGTATCAACGCCTCTTTACGGTTGAGGAGGAGGACTAATAATCCAACTATCACGTGTGATAATTAAAACACCAGTAGAACATCGTTGCCGATCATTTGAATATTTGAATCGTTTTGAAGGGAGCTTCAATAGTGATTAATACTCCCTATACGATCGATTATGCCAGCAATTATTATGGCCAGTATGCGTACGGCCTCTGAGGGGGACTTCATGTCTCAGAGAGTCGCAGATTTGTTCTCCCTAGTCCAGTAGTGATAAGATGATGACATCTACTGCATGCTGTTGTGTTGTGAATAACCGTACTATCAATGCTTCGGAATATTCTCGCTATCTGAGCTTTGGGATATAGTATATATCCTAGGGTATAATGGAAGGGCTTTTGGAGAGCTCAGCCTGTGTTCATCAGATCGCTATCCATTTGCCTAGGAGGGTTGTGATTCTCTAGTTAGGAAGCTGATCTGCTCGGATGTCCATCGCCGTTGCGAACGCTTCCCGGCTTCGACGAGGTGGATCGCGGCTCCCTGTCCATAGGGTGAGCTCGTTGACACAGTTAGAGAGGGTTTTGAAGGTCGATGGTGCTTGGCCTCCTCTGGCGGTCCATTATGACTGCGACATCAGCAGGTGAGGGAGGAGTGGTATGGCGGATATATTGATACTAGAAATAAGTCTCTACATGGTGAAGTTAGAGTGTAACTCAGCCACTGAAAACCCCACCAAAAACCTGATATCGGGTTCGCTGAGACACTGGTTGCCCGTGCGGAAGAATGATGTAGAATTTCCAATACCGAGATCGGTATGGTTTCTTATCTCGATCGGTTTGCCTCTTCATGTAGGATTATCCAGCATGGTGGTGATATAACCGTAGCGAGTAAAGGCGGTGTGGCCTTAGTGGATGACCTAAACCTGCTCCGACCACTTCTAGGAGAGCCCAGTATATTGAAGGTGATCCTGGGAGCGACTAGGAGCGAAAAGCTCTGATAGTATTCGTCTGACGGTGTTTCTCAGTGACTTGTCATCTCACAGGTCATGCACGACTCGAGGGAGTTCTGCAGTTGGTTGATGGGTGATGCTGATGCAGCGGAAATTCAGAATGTTTATGATACGTTGATTGGCCATTGGATGCTCGAGGAGTTCTCGGGCAAGGCCGGAGGCAAGGATACTGGTGGATCGTCTTGAGTGTGACGATATATCCTTTTTTCAGATTATGGAATCTCGGACTTATCCCTTCCGGCCCTTTGCAGTCTATATCACGTTGGTCAGAAAACAGCGTGTGGTGGCCTTCTACCAATACGGAAGGAACAACACAAGCGATTACTTGTGTCGGATTCTGGCATGGCCGACGACTACATCGTCGATCGATCTCGGCTCTTCACCTCGGTGTATCCCAAGTTGAACAGGGAGTTTCCATCCGAGGTGCCTCCCCGAAAGATGCCTGCGGGACAGAGGTTGTCCGGTATGGTGGCCAAGATTGCGTATTATGATTCGTCAGTCCTCGGAGGGGCTGGTAATATGGCATATGAAGAGACGGCGGACCCTAAGAAGGACGGCATGCTGGTCATCTATTGGCGACTCAACATCTGGCCCCACGTCCTGGGAATCACACCACCCAGCGAGGCGAATGAGAAGATATGCCGAGGCCTTAGGGTTGGTCATGTAGTCGATGATCTATTCACGACACCGTGTGGGGAAGGAGGGGCTTGCTTCGACGAGGAGGCGTCTCTGTTGTTCGTTGCACCGAAAGGACGGGATGCCTGGTTGGCTGAGGATGCCAATCTTCTCGCCGAGGACGGGGCTCCTCCTCGGCCTGGCCATACGAGTATGCGGCACCTCCCTCAAAACTTCACTAGCATGGGGCCTGAGTTCGCTCTGCCGCCTAAGAAGTACTCCGGGAGGAGGAGCTGGGACGAGATTGATTCGATGTATTCAGGTCCGACGGTCCTAGTGGTTACGATGTCATTCACAAGAAGGGGAAGAGGGGCGCTACGAAGGTCAGACGCGTTGATAGAGAGAAGCAACGACAGAAGCGATTCGACGAGGATTGAGTCGGTTGACGCTCATGTTTCATAGCCCATGCAGTTTCTGTGATGACTCTCTCGTTTCGTTCGCCCTATGTCCTGGACCCAATGGGCGTTGTAGCTTAGCTAGAGCAGAGATCGCCACTGGTTCGGCATCTAAGTCGTCTTCAATGGGTCATGGTGATCCTGCATCATTTGGAAGCTCTAAGTCCTTCCCAAGCCGTAGGTGAGGATCGGAGCCCAATACATGGTTTCTCCATCTCTCTCTCCATAACATGCAATGTTACGGAATAACGGGGAGCAGTCTGCAGAGGTACTTATCGAGGACCATGGTCTGTGGCCCACGGTTCGTAACTGGGTCGGCGAGATTTCAGCGAGAAAAAGCGAGACTCATCTATCCATTTAACATGCCCTCACGCGGACGGTTCGATTATCAATTCTGCACGCGCGCGTGATAGGAAGACGTATCTCGTTACTAACGAAGTTGTGGTTGCTTAGGTCTTCATAATTTCTTATCTGTTGTTGTCCTGATAAAGAACACCTCAATTGATATTGCTCCACCTGCTGGTGTGCGGCCTGGCTTGATTCATCTACCACCTGGTACTCCTGATTGTATGCATCTTACACATGGGATCCTCTGTTGTGTCCAGTGGCCACAGATCAAAACGGCGAGGCCGGACGAGTAATGCTCGTCGAGTATAGTTGACGAGCATCGAGAGATGAGCTTGCCAGACTGTTTACGTGTTCGTCAGCATTTCGTGTATGCAGTTCTGCATCATCGTTCTGGCACGGCATCACGCTGAATCCTAGTTCTATTCTCGAGAGTGACATTTTTCCATTTTTATTTGGAAGTTGATCGGCATGTTATTCATACCATTCCTTCTTCAATCTTGCGTAGATTGCACCAAGTGTCCCCACGACATTGGAGTTAAAGTAAGCTGGGTGAGTAGCGATCGCCTGTAACCCATGCGGGAGCTGGATCTGTGTGAATGGTCGGTCGTGCCTAGGGCTGATCAGAGATCGGCCGCCCGTCCCAAGGGGCCACCAGGTCTGGGTGGGATGATGGAAGTCGTCGCATCCGGACATCTGAAGAAGCGGGTACAGGCTAAGGCTGGGAACAGAGCAGGCAATACCGCGCGGTGGAATCAGTGAGGATGGAAAGTGGTCGAGAGACTGGTAGCCTGGGCAATAACATCGACATGCCAAACACAAAGATCGTTTTTTTTCATCGGCCCGTATGCATGAAAATCGATTTGGAATTCTGAGCAAGACGAACATGCTGCTCGTTTGACTAGAGTGACGCTATGAACGGAGTTGCGCTCGCTGCAGATAGGTCCTTTGCCGAGTCACGGAGTTCCTGCGAGGGAGGTCTCGTCGTCACCCTGATGTTTCGCCATCGGACTTACTTCGTCCAAACTTTCTCAATGAAATGGTCATTCACCCAAAAGGGAACTCTCCGAACCACATGTCCAGTTTCGCACCGGGCCTTCCGATGATCGTTTCATCAGGCCAAGCTCGACTAGTTAAGATCGGCTCGTGGCCGACCCACTACAATATACCCAGCTCGGTGGGCTACAGCGTGCGGAATTCGTTCTCATTACGGGTTCCACTTGAGGCGGCGGGATCTCAGGATCTTTGCTTTTCGGGATCATCAACGATCAATGAGTCATGCGATCGGTGACCGATCACGTGGCAAGCAATTTTGCGAAAGTTTTCATGGCTAACTTCACCACGAGCCTCATCCAGATACGACTAGTATCGAGAGGCATGCCGTGCTTAACAGAATGAAGAACATTCATATCAGTCATGGCTGCATGCGAATGGTGGTACAGAGCCTAGTAGCAACGCGACATTATAGAGGCTTCAAGTCAACTTGACATGGTGTTCATGGTGCTGTCCTCGGCAATTCAAGAGGTTCAATTTTCGCCATCATCAGCAGCTCCCTCAGGGCCTCATTAGCACTGAGCTGTTCGTTATATATGTCCAAGTCGGTAATGAGTCGAGCTTTCTCCTGTAGGGCAGCATCCAGTGCCTCTCGCATGGCCGTAGATGTTCGTTCCTGCTCCCGCTCAATGCGCAAGAGTTTCTGAAGACTGAAAAGTCTACGTACTCGGAGAGACCCTCCGAATAGCAGCGGGGCAAGTAATACGCAGGTGCAGGAGAAGTTGCCGCTTGCTGACCTCTGTTTTAGCCTGCACCTCTTTCTCGAGCATTCCTTTCTCGTTCTCCAACTTGGACTTCGCTGCTTCCACATTCACAACTCTCTCCTGTAGCTCAGCAACGGCCTGCGGATTGAGCTCGTCCTGAGATAAGTGATTGCGAGCAAAAACTCATCTCGCCGTTGGCTGTATGTACCCCGAGCCGCTCGCGTTCAAGATCAGCTATACGCGTCTCATACACTCGCACTCGGTCCTCGACAGCCTTCTGCAGGAGCTGCTTCTGCTCAACGGATCCTAACCAATGGCGACCCGCCCAGATACCACTCTAGCATGTGTCACAGACATGAGGGCTTACCAGTAGAGTCAGTAATTCTCCGGTCCGCTGCCGAGAGCTTCGCCCACAGTTGTTTCATACGATGCTCATTTTTCTGGTTTGACGATGTCTCCTTCACGAGATCCTTCAGCAACCTGTCTCGGATGGCGAGCACTTCATTTTGGAGCCGCAAAGCTTGCAGCTCCTCTGAGGCGACGACGGGATTGATCAAGAGGGATTCCACCATAAGCCCACTCACCCCAGAGGAATTCGAATCTCTCCGTATCGGTCACCCAACACCGTTTCCATTGCTTCGCCATATCGTTGCGGAGGCGAGATATCTCAGACTCCCCTAAGATGGAACCACTTCAAAATTTAAAACACCACAGTATTCAGTTATTTTCAGGAGAACCATGCACTGTCGAAGACCGGAAGCTATCGAATGGCTCACTGCTTTTGACGGCCATCTCAGCCATCTCCTTTCGTAGTTCAGCTTCGCTGTTATTGGTCATCATTTCTTCACTCATTTTCCTCAACTCCCGACGATGCTGTTTCTTCAGAGCATCGATCTCATCGGTATGTGCGTGTGCAAGTTCACTCTGAAGAACGACCCAATTAAAATTATTCCTTCCAAAGACGACCAAAGGGAGCTAACTTACTTTCGCTGCTTCAATCTCTCGCAGGCGGTTGCGCACACTGACGACCTCGGCCCTTACGAGGCTTGCTTCCTTCCGTGCCCGTATGGCTGATCCAATTATCTTCCAGAAGAGGAGCAGTAGTGTACGAGAGGACTGAAGGAACGAAGGAGCATACGTACACACTGGTATAGATATCGAGGCTCATAAATACAGATGGAGATGTGGTGATACCTCGAAACCACTGGCCCGAAGTCGTCGAAGTAGAGCAACAAGTTGCGCTTCGTCGTTGGTTGTGTGTTCTTTCGTGGACTCGGAACCCTCGACCAGTTTTAAACGTTGCTTCAGATACGAACTGGTTGCTCTCAACCTGGCCACATGTATGGGACGTATACTCGGACGCCTACTCATTGCTATAAGTTGGCATCGAAACCCAAAACGAGTGGGAAGTAGAGAGAATTAACCTATCGGCTGTGTGGTCTAGTGGTATGATTCTCGCTTAGGGTGCGAGAGGTCCCGAGTTCAATTCTCGGCACAGCCCATATAATCTAAGACTTAATGTACACTTCTAATCTCCACCTTACTCTTCGCATTCTCTCTCAATCCTGAGAGACCTCTCAATTGCTTCAGCGTCTCCACAAACAGAGGCCACCGTGCTCGAGTCCCCCGCAGAGAAGTTCATATCGATGACCCCCATCCCGCTACACTCCGATGCTTGATCGCTCAGACTCAGCCATCGCTGTAGCCATCTGGCTCAAGTGACTGTTTTCGGTTCTCGTCAATCGAATGACTATCGACAACAACTCCGATATTTCGTCCAACATCAATCTCCCTCCGACCCAGGAGACCGGCGGCTTCGTGACTGTTATGGAAGCAGTTCTGAATGTCTGCGCTGGGTCGGCCATGGGAGTCAGGAAGGCCAATGAGGTGAAAACGCTGCTGGACAGAATGCATGCGATGTATACGGGCGCGCAAGAAGATCTGTGTGAGGGTCAGAGAAAGTTAATCAAGGTTATGGAAGAGCACGGTAGGGTCAAAGAGGAGATTTCGAGGATAAACAGGTCCGGCATGGCCACGGGTCTGGGGGTGCAGCGTACGGAAACACTGGGAACTGGCGGGATGCCCAGCAGACCCGACAGGGACGGAACTTTGATCTGGGTGACCGGTGGAGACATCAGAGAAGACAGGAGCACGGAGCATCGCCTCCGTATAGTCGGAAGAATTGGCTGTAAAGCCGAAGTAGTGGTGCTAGACAGCTTTTTCGCGAAAGATGGCAGGCTAGGGATCAGAGTAGCTGAAGGTGATGTAGGCGGTGCCGTACGTGCGGCCGTAGATCTTGGGTATGAAGGGAAGAGCCCTGGATCCTTTGAGCCTGAGTTATTCATAAGGGAAGTCGGCTCGATCAGTGAGCAGACGTTGAAGGATGCTATAGGTGAAGAATGCACAGCAGTTTACAAAAGGGGCCTCAACGCCTTTGTAAGAGTGAAGAAGTGTGGAGTTGAGCGGCTGCTAAGGGAGGGCATTAAGGTGGAATGGCGACTTATCAGACCCGAGCTGAAACACAGGAGGAAGATGTGCTATCGATGCTGTGAACTCGGTAAAAATGCCCATCTCGCCAGTGACTGCTCAAAAACTCCTGTCTGCTATAAGTGCGGTGCAGAGGGGCACCAGGGACGTGAGTGCCAAGGGGGGCCACAAAAGTGTGCGAACTGTGGAGGCTCTCATAGAGCTGTTGATCACAAACTTTGCCCAGCAGCATGCAGGCTGCTTGAGCGAGAAGTAGGGGGTATAGCGAAACGGTATTAGCGGAGGGCGATGAGACCTCCATGCATGGTACCATTCGCGTTGTACAATTGAATATGGGTAGGAGCAGTGTAGTCTTCAGAGCAGCTGTAGAACATTCAGAAGCGGATGTCATAGCAATTCAAGAACCGCCTCGCAGAGTAGTCTGTATGAGGATTCTGAGTGATAGTAGTCAATGGAGCTATGTGAGCGTATCGGAGCGGAGCCGAGTTGCTTTCCTTTTGAAGCCTACAGTCAACTAGTAGTTGACAACTACAGAATTGTCAGTCAGTGCAGTGACATGCGGGACTGGGTGGCGGTAGATATTCGCTGCTTAGGCGATATGGAAAGAAACCTCCGTATTATATCAGGATATTGCCCTTCTGATGGTACGACCACAATGGAGGAGTGCCTCTTGGGAGTTGATGCCTTGGTCAGCCATCGGCGGACAGTCCTTTGTTGTGACAGTAATGCGTGGAGTGGGGCGTGGGGGCCCCCACGCGATGGGGGGTCGTATCAACGAAGGAGGGGAGTCATTCTGGAGGACTGGGCAGAGAAGAATGGCCTACACGTGATTAATGACTGCGAGTCTCCCCCCACCTTCCGCAGCCACCGCACTTGTAGTGATGGTTCTATCATCACCTCCCACATTGATGTTACGATGTGCTCTGTGGATCTCGTGGAACGGGTTGCGGACTGGCAGGTGGACTGGGATGATCCTTCTTCTGCTGTATCCGATCATGCGGCTGTTAAGGTAGCCATAAGCCTGCGGCTTATTGCTCGTCAGGAACCACCATGGAGAGGTAAGGGTAGGCTGAACGAGGATCAGTTTGCTGAAAGGATATGTAGCGTTCTCCCGCAGTGGCATCCCTCCTGGAAGGACGAATGGGCGACGACTGTGCGAGGCACGGCTTCAATTTGTGAAGCTATAGCTCAATGCGTGGAGGATTGCCGAGGCAGGTCGCGTAAGCTCAAGGCTCCGAGGCCGGTGTGGTGGACGCCGGAGATCGGCGATTTAGAACGCAAGGTATCCTGGTTGCGAAAGCGGGTGCAGAGGACAAACAACTCCACGGAAACAAGGGCGGAACTCCGAGAGGCATCACGGGCTCTGCGACGGGCTAAGAGGGCCAGGGCTAAGGAGCATGCACGTAGGGAGCTCGCGTCTCTGGAGAGTCCCACTGCAGCGTTTGAATATCATCGGAAGTGGCGTGCCGCTCGTCGACCGGCAATACATCCTTACCTCTCGGCTGAGGAGCTCGCGAAAGGCCTGTTTCCCATGGAGGAACCTGACTCTTCGGAGCAGGCAGACATGAGGAAGGAAATGGCCGACGTGATAAGAGGGCTAAAGCAGCTCCCACCTGAGGTTGAACCCGTCTCCAGGGCAGAGCTGCTGGCCAGTGCGAAAGAGGTGAGGGCATCATCATGTCCGGGGGCAGACTCGGTTCCGGTTACCGCAATGCAGCTCACGATAGAAAGGGAGCCTCAGGTGTTCTGTGAAATGTTCACCGCATTCCTTCAACACCGGCAGCTGCCCAGTGACCTTAAGAGTGGCTACGTTATAACGCTGCCGAAAGGGCATGACAGACCGGCATGGGAGGAGAAGTCATGGAGGCCGATAACTGTACTGACTGCACTCACTCGCGTCTTTGAGCGACTCGTTTATCGGCGAGTTGAACGGCTGATAGAGTTTCCAGACTCCTTTCATGCCTACCTTCCGGGCAAAGGGTGCGATACTGCGGTCGCAAACCTTGAGAGCGAAATAAGGAAGATCTGGCAGAATGGCTACAGTGCAGGGTGCATCTTCCTCGACATTGAAGGGGCGTTCGACAAGTGCAGTCCTTGGGCGACCCTCAAGGAGATGAAAGCCCGTGGGCTCCGGGGTGACTACCTTGCTCTACTTTCTGATTATCTGAGTGGCCGACGAGTCTCCCTGCACCATGCAGGAGATATCTCCACGATGGAGCTCACGCGGGGGACGGCGCAAGGAGGAGTATTGTCCCCCTGGATATTCAACTGTTTTATGCTGTCCCTGAGCGACGTCCTATCGCCCTGGGCCTACGTGACGTATGCTGATGATGTCGTTGTGATCTTCCAGTATAAAACCGAGGAAGAGGTACGGGATGCCGCTCGAGCAATCCATGCTGCACTCGACAAATGGTGTGGGTTAGTGAAAGTGAAGCTCTCCTGGCCGAAGACACAGTTGATGTGCTTCCCCAAATGCCGGGCGCACGGAGGTATCGGGTGCCACATCAACATGGGTGATCAAGTGATCGTGGAGTCGCCAGTACGATGGATTGGAGTGGCACTAGATCGGAAATTTAGGTGGGGTGCTCATGCGGCAAACATTCTCGCTCGGCTGGAGGGGATATACCACTCTGTGAAAGCGCATGTCCGAAGCTCATGGGGATTGGGCCCCGACGTCGCGCTGGTGCTTTTTGAGGCAGTGGCTCGTGGCTGCCTGCTGTACGCGGTTGGCTGCTGGGGACATGCGGCCCTTCGCGCCAGGATTGCCAAGCAGCTGAGGGCGCTACAGGCTCGGTTCTACCGGAGGGCTCGGAGACTGAGCGCGCGTACCCCTACCGCATTTGTGTCACATACAGGAACGGACGGAATACCCTGGGATCTCCTATGCGTATCCCAATGTATAAAACGTCGGCTGTCCGTGACAGGCTTTCCCGCGGTACCCTCCTTGCAGGACGAGCTCCAACGCATAGCTATGGGAGCTCCAGTCGATTCCCCAGTTTCGGCGGCGAGAGAGCTTAGACCTCTCACCATCAGTAGCCGTAGAAAGAGCCCTTGCAGAAAGTGGGTATTCTATACTGACGGGGCAGCATCGCGGAATCAAACTGCCGGATGCGCGGCGGTATTGAAGACGCAGTACGGTGAGTGGAATATGTGGGGCTGGAAATTGCCTTCATATGCAACTCCACTACAGGCTGAGCTCTTCGGAGTCCTCCGTGCAGTAGAAGCCGGGGGGGAGATGCGACTCGGGGAGATATGTGTCGGCACGGACTGCCAACGGGCAATTGACCTTCTAGCTGGACTTGCCAAGCGGAGGCTCTGTCGTGGAATTGTAGTGCAGTACATCCGGCAGCGCGCACTGGACCTGCGACTGAATGTGGAGTTGCAGTACGTTAGGTCAAAGTCCTGCGAAGGGAACCGCCGAGCGGACCAGCTAGCAAAACTGCTCTCGCTACACGGGGATGATCCGCCGTTCATCGTACCCATAGATCGGGAGGTGGTCTCAGAGAGGGTGAGGAAATGCGTTGAGCAGCAGTCTGACATGCTATATGAAAGCGAGGTCAGGAAACTAGGAAGATCTATCAGGGAGTTTGTGCCCACCGCATCAGCTCTGAAGATGCTTAGGGGGCTGCAAGGCTGCCGAAATCTCTGGGGACTTATTTCAGGACAGAGCCGGCTGCGATACTGCCGAAGCCGAGTTGATGGGGGAAGTGATGAATGTCCGAACTGCGACGCTCAAGTCACGGAGGATGTGAGACATTTTTTGTACGAGTGCGAGCGATGGAAGAGCCAACGGGAGGCATTAATTCGAGAAGTGAACCTGCGAGGGCTAACGTGGCCTCCCCAGGGGGAGACTGTCATCAGAAGCCGGGATCTGGCGCTGGTACTCGAAGGGTTTCTGCGAAGGACTGGAAGGGTCTTCAGAGACTAATGCCGCCTGCCCAACGCCGAGGGTGAGTCATCTTGAATGACCGTATGGGAGAAATACGGGACGAAATGGAACTCAACGGAGCGGAGACTAACGAGCCGCAGAAGGGCGGCTACAGAAGGGATCATGTTGGCGGCAAATGGCCAGAGAATGGCCGTGCCGCGTCCAAGATTGAGAAGAAGAAGAAGAAGATCGCTCAGACTCGAAACCTTCCACGGAGCTTCCATATCTCTAGACCGACGTTCAAGAAGTATTCTCTCTTCTTCGAGTCTGTTTATCTGAGAGAAGCGCGCACTCATGTGGACGTCGTAGTTCCACCACGAGAGTTTCTGTTGGGGCATAAAGTGCCGGTGGTATAAAAGCCTCATAACGATAGCATATAGTAGATGATTTGATGACCAATGATAGCATAGCAGGGACGACTATCGAATGGCAACAGGTCATAGAAATCGACAAAAGCCACACGGCCCCACCAGCTTCTCCAAATTCAGAAGTATCTCTCGATCGGCGCTAGGCAGTTCCCTGCCCGAACGTCTCCGGTCCATGCCCGACATCACAGCCTCATACATCTCCCGCACTGTCTGTGCAGTGGTGTTGGAGTGACGGGATGTTAAACCCAGTAGCATCTGAGCAGAATAGAAGCTGGAATCCGCGTTGCATGAATCAACTCACTTGATCTCCCAGTTGGAGTCTCTCTTCCTCGAGAGCTCGCATGCGTTCATTCTGTTTCCGCATTGCTACATCCATTCGCGACAAAGCCTCTTCCAAAGCCGTGTATTCTCTCAAGGTAGGCGGTCGGTCGCGGAAGCTTCCCTGACATGATCCAATGGGCCTTCGCAAAAGGCAGCGACGAGCGCTTACCGCCTGATCCTTCATGACTCTAGCTTTCAAAACCGCATCTTCTGCCAGGCCCGACTCGGCCTCCCATAGCGCTGCATTGTGGCCCTCCTTGAGGAGCTCCACTTCATGAGCGAACCTGACATTTACACACTCACGCGAACTGCACTACATTCTCCTTACGTAGCTCCTGTCCATAAGCTCCGCTTCGTTACTTCTTCCATCGCAGCGTAGCTCTCTCTCTCCATCTCTAGCTGCCGCTGGAGCCTCTTCACAGATAGCGACTCTCTATTCCCGAACCTCTGCCACGACCGATACCTCGCTTCTCAGCGTGTGTATCGTCGCCTCCCCCCTCTCGGCCGCATCAGCACCGCAAGACCATCGACAGTTGCTTGTTGTCGATTCTGATAGTCTCTCAGCCGCTGCGCCGGCGCACTCTCTTTCTTCATCTGCTGCACGCCCTTCGGCTGTTTTTTCTCCGGTTCCTTGCTGGAATCAGGCGGTGGGTTCTTTGGAGGTGTAGGCGCATTCGGCGGTGCATGTGGAGACTTCTAGAGAAGCAGTGCGGTTCTCGTTATGGTCGTAGCGACTCACCCCACGATCAGCTCGGGAAGGATTGTCGGGTTCGATGGTCTTGGCAATATCGTCCTTTTTATGTGCAGTCTCGGACACTTCAGCAGCCAGCGCCCCTCCCTGACATCATGGAGCTAGCACTCGATACATGAGGATTGATCCTTGAAGGATCATCCTTCACCTTGATCAAGCTCCGCACGGAAGCGTCCGACTGTAGGAATTTGGCCACATACGAGTCGATGGGGATTGCAAAGTTGGCCGTGAAATCGTGGCATTCACACAAACTCCAGAGGAAGTAGAGTGCAGCAAGTGTGTTATAAATAGCAGAGGCAAATGCCTTATCATTCAGGTCCTCTTTGCTCGCCTTGGACCATCGAGCTGCGGCATCTAGGATGCCCATGGGTACATCAGCTGCATTGGCGATCCGCGAGATCCCTTCCCAAGCATCATACGTCGTCGTTCCCAATGGGGAAAGGTCTGGCCATACCTACAGCATGAACTCAACAGTACATACACATGGACTGATCCTCCGAATTGGATCTCCCGAGATGAGACAGTACTCCGGATGATTCCTGTCACCATTATGGTCACGAGCTAGGCGTTAACTCCTCGCTTAAAACGGGATGTGTATCGTATTCCTCTCACCGACTGGACCATCTCAAGAAGTATCTCTCCATCCTGTAGATCTGCAAAGCCTTCAACTTCACCACAGCTAGTTCGCTCCGCAATCCACTGAATCAAGTGATGTGAACCACTCCCGTTTGAAATCAGATATTCCGTTTCTCACTTCTAGAAGGTCTCTAGGATGGACGGCTTGTCCACGATCAGCCATAAAGCGCCCAATAGGAGAGCCACTTTTCTCAATAGGTGTCACCATTGACAACACAAACCAACTCGTTAATGATACAAGTGTTTGTTATCACGAAACCGATGGGAGATCTCCTTATATGGAGTAGTTGGCAACGGCCAAGCTCATCGAGCCGCCACAGGCGAGATCGGATATCTAATAGTAACAGATCCTTCCACACTATCTAGGGAAGACCTCGCGTTACCTTGTTGAATTTGAAGTCATCATGACCCTTGTGCATCTCATTTAGATCTACCGGTGTTGGCGGCACAAAAAAATATTTCGAGGGTGTATCGATGGCCTGGTTCTCATAGTTGTACCCAAAACCATAAAGGGTAGCATCTGAAGGAATCCTCATTTATCCAATCGAACACAGCACAAGTCTGCTACCCTTAACCACAGCTCCATGGGCTTCCCCAATGCTCATTGTAGTAACCTCTCCCTGGCCCGGTATCAGGACGCTGGCTGATCCCCCACCACCTAACTTCGCCATCACCGATGATGCTGCTACTCCTGGTGCCTCTGTTTTATCTGACATATCGTACAACATCACTTCGACAATGATAGAATGAAACCTCGAGGATTATTGAGATCATTAGCAACGACTGATTGCGACTTCCCTCTTCGCAACGGTTTACCTTCTTTATGTCCATTCTGCATTCCCTCTGCAGCCTTGACCGGGGCCTCCACCATCTCGGGGCCAGCAGCTTGCACAGCTCCCCACATTATTACGGAGTTATCAGCATCATCACAGACCAACAGTGTGGTGACCTGATCGCAAGTTGCATCAGCGTAGTTATGTCCTATACTGTAATCTAGTATCGGACCTTGCCAGCAGTCACTGCTTTAACCGGCTGCGGCATCTGTACTCGCGTTGCCTCCGCGAAATCTTGCCGGAGCCCATGGCCGATCTGGCCTGTGGGAGGACCAGAGAGCTTCGGCAAGACCCTCGTCTGATAATAGAAACCTACCCTGTGAGTTGCTCCCCCAGCTATACACCGCTCCGTCGTCACCAACCGCAACACTATGACCACCTCCAGCCGCGATATCGCTAATCTTGGGTAAATGGGGAACCTGAACAGCGACACGCCATGAGAGTGGTTGACTGCCTAGTCCCAGTAAGCAATACTCACCTTATGCGGCCGTTGCTGGCCTACAACATCTACCCCGTGGAGCCCCCAACCGAGCTGACCGAAGTCTGAGGACGCTCTTATTGCAAAGGAATGATGAACCAAGTCAGCTCACCGTTGTATCCCCAGGAGAAGACCTCGCCTTCCTTGGTGAGGGCCAACATGTGCTGATCTCCACATGACACCTGATGTGGCCAAGTTTTGGTATCACTCACTCCCCTCGAGGTGCACACCTTTAGGATTCTGCTGCCAGCCAGTCCTACAGCTGTATTGTCACATCCAGGCTTGTTGCCATTACACCATGTATCGACAAATAGACGAGGCCAATTACTAGCCTGGTACCTGATATGAAAGGCGACTCTGTAGGAGCAAAGGAGACGGCCAACTTTCTCCACAACATGACGAGGGCCGTATCGAGGAAACTTCAGAATCGCAAACAGGGAAGAATTCCGGCGCCTCCTACCGTCCCCAAGTCCACAGCTGACCAGCCTTAGTAACGGCAACAGAGTAGTCAGGACCACATGCAACTAAACGGGACATCCTCGCCACACCAGCTGGTCAATTCATACTTTTGTCAATATAAACATCGCTGGGTAGCTTAACAGTTTCTGGTATAATCCGACTCCGTTCATCACCAGTACCGAGCTGGCCAGAATCATTGAGTCCCCAGGACATAACCTACCGAAGAACAATCCTTCAAGTTAGCGAGCAGCTGCACTTACCTTTCCTCCTTCGGTGAGAGCCAAGGCATGGCCAGCTCCTATCGCTACGGAGCGTATACGCTTTCGGGCCAAGGATAATACGTCCTCTAGTCCTTGCGATGCCTGGGCACCTAGAGTATCAATAACGGCTCCATCGAACCGGCAAGAGAAACGCACCCGTCCACGGCATGCGTCCCCACGCAAAGACACGACTATCGGCGGTCACTGCAGCAGGCGAGCCGTCGACAATCTGCACCAGCCCCCCATAAGAGATATAGCTGAACCAAGAGTAGTATCAAAAAGGACAGTACTGCTGACCTACCCTGTGATGGCAGCACTGTCGGGTATGTAGACGCCGACCTCGGACCTTAGATGAACTGTATAGACGCTGATGAACTGACGCAATCTATTGTAATTCTCAACCTGAATACGACATGTAAGGGTTGAGTGACGCCTTGAAGATTACAAAGAGCTTCTTGAGATTTATACTGGGACCTTCCTCGTATCCTCCATGCCTTGGTAAGCGAATCTTAATGCAGCATGATGGACCACGACGGCCGTGATACGCCATATACAGCTGAAAGCATATACCGTTTCCCACTAGGTTTCCCTGTCTAGGTGAGTACGAACTAGCAAATGAAGTGTGTGAGTGCGGGAGAATTCCTACTGGAAATAGACCCCAACTACCCTACAGACGGCGTAAGCGACTGTCACTACAGTGTACAAGTTCACGACGCTCTCCTTTTCCGAGTGATGAATCTCACCTTGAAACGTCTTTCCTTTTTCGGTGCCATGTACTCCATCTCGACCTTCTTCGTCGTCCCCGAAGGGTTCTCAAAGGCCTCGTCTTCTCTCCGTTCTCGTTTCTATACACAGCAACGCTCTATGGCACTTTCAACGAGCTCTCATTAAAGCGTGTCAACCGCGATAAAGAGAACTATATAACCGATAGACTCAACGAACGCTAACATATACCCGAAAACGGCAGAGCCCCCCAGACACCTTCCTCTTCTCTGCCTCTTCGTCCTTCACACTATCATATGCCCGTGCGTCCATACCGTTGATATCGCCTAAGAAGGAAACCATCCCTCGAGCAAAATGCTGCACCCCAGTGCAGATCTATCCGAACCCCCAAGCCCAGTACTACAGATCTCTTCAGGATCGTTCCCATAGAGCGGTGGAGCATCAGCATGATCAGGATCAATCATAGTAACAAAATCAGTAAGCCTTCATAAGAGGCCCTCATACCAGTCGAACACAACATGTCCTTCCCCTCCGGAAAAAATTTTTTATGATCCGCATTCCATCCATCTATGGCAATTACCAGGTTCGCCTCCCTTCAACTTCTTCCACAAAAAAGCTGTCGTTGAAAGCGACAACAACACAGTGGTCCGAAAGCTCGAGCCTCGCAGTATCACATCTCCTGTGATCGCGGTAGAATATGTGCGTTCCCAGCAACAGACGACAAGGATTATCTACGAGCCTAGTTCCGTCCCACCTCCCTCGTCTCTATCGTTACATGTTGTGGGCATGCCTGAGCCTAACAACTCTGCCGAACCAACCCAAAGACATGGTTAAGATCGTGGTCCGTAGTATGGACCACCATACCACTGGAAAGCCTTTGTCTTTTAGGCGACTTAACGTCTAGTTAATAGGACGACACTGTATTAAATACAAGCAACATCCTAATATACTTCGCAGCATCCTCCATAGAGACGTTCTCTTCATGTGGTATCTTCCCTTGGAGGGCGTAAGTGGATACTATAATCTACGCACTGCGCATATTTGCATCGCAAATCTCGCTCGCCCGACAATCTAGTCGCTAGACGGTTTGATTGATGTTCACGAGTGGACTCAGAATCCGATGACCAGCTGCCATTGGCGACTTCCTGACCAGCACACACTCTCGTTGATTCCGGCTTTACCATCGTCGATGTGGTGCGATGGTGACGCTCCCTGAACGGTCAGACGCCACGTTAGACGATGGAATTATGAACATTGGTCTTCGTCCTGGTGTCGATCGAATCGAGCGTGAGCGCGGTGTAAGGGTCCGATTTATCTCTCTATACGATGAGGCTCTTCTACATCTTGATGATAATAATGAGCAACACAATAGGGCATCATCACAAGAAAAAAGTCAACTTTAAACATCTAACCAGAATTCAGACTACTGAGCTACTTGTGACTATGCTGACAGCATACGGACCTGAAGGTCCCAAGAGGCATACAGTGCCGCTGGAAGTGTTGGGTGCCAGGTAACTGAAAGTAGTTCTATGCTACTGATAATGGTATACTAAACACGCCCCGTCGGAGGCTCAGCACAGTCTCGAAAACACATCGCGAGGACGCAGCTTAGCCCACCTGCTCGAGTGGTATGCGATCTGTCATACCAGTCGTCGTCGTCGCTCAGACTGTCGTTGTCGCCAATCTCCGTGTCCCCATCTGTGAGCCGCTCCCCCATCGCTCGGAAGCTGAAATTCACTCGTGAACGCTCTGACTGTTGATGCCCCGCACGAGCTCACGTTCTGCCAAAAGGAGAAGGGTTCTGCAGGTCCCATATATGTATGATGCCGTTGGCACTGCCGGAAAGGATGTACCGGTAACAGATAACCATCACTGCACCACGAAATTGAATTGAGTGAGTACCGGCCTCCCGTGGTGCGCATAGGCGACATCCGAGCACGAATGAGCGTCCGGTGAACCTTGTGACCGACAAAAGTGTACAGAGACCTGTCGAGATGCGGCACCGTAGTTTTCGAGAAGGTCCAGAATTTATACTTATCGTGTGGATGGGTGTAGCAGTCGAGGAGGGGATTCCCTGGGTATGGTTGACTACGGTAATCCCATGCCGGGTTACATGGCGCTGCTTGGTGCTTGGTGTGGTAATCCACCACATTCACAGGAGCTGAGGTGCACTGCACTATCGTCACCAGCGAGGTCCAGCCAAACATCCACTGCGTACCCGTCCTCAAATCCCACAACTTAACCTTCTGGTCCTTAGCATTCGAGCACAGGTAGTGCCAGCTAGCATCGGACATATGTAGGCTGCATATACCATCCGTATGCCCCACCAACACCTACCATTACTCCCGCTCAAGGTTTCCGGTCGGAGAAGACCAATAACTATGCGAGCGCACTGAACTCACCCCAGCAGGCCGTCGCATTCTTCGAGTATCCCACATGCTTATCGTGCCATCATCTCCACCAGAGAACAGCAGTGTCCTATGACCGGACCTGAGCCAGGCCTGCATGGTCACACGATCTACCGAGGATCGTACTCGGCATGTGGGGTACACAGAGCATTAACATCAGCACCATTGTGGCTGTAGGTCGTGCAGTATGTCATCTCCCTCGACAGGTCGTAAAGGTGGACTCCGCCCATCTGATGGAGATAGACGACTAGCCCGATATTAATAATATTGGCGTCGGATGAATAATGCCATACTGCAACGGAACCAGACGGGTATACGAACACTTGCAATTACTACACTACAGCGGTTTACAAACGAGAAAGCTTGATAGTAGTTTGCCAAACAACTACCATTCATCTCGATAAAACCTCAGGGACGTACGAGAGATCAGGCAGCCTCAAAGTACCCCAACCTACCATTGAGCCTGCTGCTGCTTGCCAGTCCCCGATGAACCTCACAGCCCATACACCGATCCTGAGAGGGTCGATCGACGAACACCAGGTTGGCAGGCTATAGCACCTTGTATCATCCAAGATCAGCGCCTTGCCTCGGATACTCTCTGTCTCATAATTGGCGGTAAAATTAAGAACAGGGCTTATCGAGGAGGTCAGGATGGATGGACGAGAGGGATGGTGCTATGGTAACGCTTTGTCATTACCGCTGCGCCACAAAATTACATCTATGTCGGTGATGGTCCATCGCACGTGACTCTGATAGAACATTTTTCTCTCGTACATTTTGAGATTGCCTTGTTCGGATTCACCACGTGTGGAGCTGATGTTGGACGAGTCGAGTCTGATCCAACAAAGTTCAACTACTCCCGCAGTAGACAGTGTTTACATATGGATGCAGCCGTCCCTGCCAGAGACGAAGAGGCTGTTGCCCGATGGTGACATGATAATATCGTAGGGGCATTCAGTGGCGCAAGACTAAGAACTATCACTGAGCTGTGTCCAGCACTTGGTCCTTACATGCCCAGCTGCTTGTGTGACTTTACGCTTACCCCATAGGAAGCCAGTGAGCTGATAAGGTGCTGCTCGTCCACCCGTTCGTGATAGAATGCGGTACCTCCGCTCAATTGACAAGCGGTAGGCGTTACGGTTAGTATAGTACGGTATCGACCCTAAACGCACAGGACAGGTGTCATCAGTCATCACAGAGGAGCAACGTTACCTCGGCGGCCTTGATCTAGATAACGCGCACTCTCCTTTCCAGGTGACATCCTGTAGCTCCTGGGGAAGTGCTTATTCAGGACCTGACTGACAGCCACATGTCCTCATTGATAACGACCCAACCACCCACCTTCATGAATTTCTTCCAGTCTGGGTCCAAGACTATAGACTTAGTGATCTCGAAGGCCTTGCGCTGTCCATCACTCCTCAAGTGATTCAGTCTCTCAGTGTCCGCCTTGAGCTCCGACAAATACGGTCTGACGGAGAGGAATCCGCCATAGTATAGTTCATCTAGTAGAAACCACGCGAGAGCCTTCCCAACTCACTGCTTCATAGAGTGAACTCTGAGGTAGATTCTCATAGCGAACGGCCTAGGATCTGTAGGGTCGATCTCACAAGCCACGCAAGCAGCTTCCAAGGCTGCCTCGAAGCATCCTAGCCGGAAGGCACCTGCCACAGGTGAAGTTCACCGTAATCGATATGCACGATGGTTCATTCGACCAACCACTCCGTGGCAAGCCTCCTGACATCAAGTCCCTTGCAGATGAAACGAAAATCTGTTTTTTGGTATTGTTTGTTTTTTGTTCGGAACACACTCTAGTGTTGCAAAGCACGTCATCAGCTGTGCCAAGGTATTATTCTATTCGATGCATACGCAGCAGCGAGGATGGACGAATTAGATAATGCCATCAGACTCTCCCGCCTCTTACAGACACTATAAAGCGTGGCAAATTCAGCGTTCTCCCGCTCGACTGGATCGGTAAATTCCTCGCGGTTGCATCTCACTGGCCGCGCCTCCGCAGGCGTCGATGCGACTTCCTTCAGCCCTTCATATCTGCTCTTGAGCATGATTCACGTCGGAGCGAAATCCCCGAGGCACCACCAAGAGTTTGCAAAATGGATACCCGAGTCCAATATGCGATTCTCATGGAGTGCATCACGACATACGTAGGATCTAGAGGGTGCTAGTTTCTCATTTTTTGAAAATAGCACCGTAAAGCAAGTGGATCACTAAATGCGCTGTTCTAGTTTTCGAGTGGGCCGCCCCCCCCGAGGTTGCAGCCTTGTTAGCGCGCTAAAAGCGCATAGAACGTCTCACCGTCCCCTATTGGTGACAATGAAGACGTGTAAATCGTGAGGTGTGGCATAATCCACGTTATCCCAGGTCACTTCCCTTTGGGAGGTTTTGGACTCTAGGAAGACAAAGAAGCATCCTAAAAACCAGTCGCATCTTATTTACCTTCTTCACCATGGCATTCTGGACTGTCTTCTGGGTCAAACTCAGAAGGAACGGAGGATATCATGAGCCTTTGGAGTGTCGAAAGAATCGACAAGAACATAAACACTGCCATAACGACGGCCACTCCGCAGCAATCAATCAACAGCGATTATTCTCAGCGATGCTTCGGATCGTGGCGATGGTGGAGCGAGAAGGATTGCTTTGTAGCTCGGTAGGGAGAGGGTGTAGGATTGAACCTGCCGACTCATCCCACGCGGCCAAACCGGAAGCTCGGACGTCGTCGTTGAGGCTAGCAGCGAGTCTCGTGGTATTCCACACACGAACAGAGTAGACGCTGAGTAAGTCACGAACTCAGTCAGTGGGATGGGGATAGGACCAGCAGGGATTAAAGCGATGACTAACACCAAACTGAATCACCCAGAAAATGTCAGCTTACCAACCAAGTGCATTCACAGATTCAATATTAAACACGCACACAAAGCAAACAGACCACCACAGATCAACGAATGAGGAAAATCTGCGGATGAAGCGAAGCGATAACAGAAACTTGTAGGAAATTTCAAAAGGTAAAAGGATAGGAATTTTCATTAGTCCTTTTCCAACTGCAACGGACCCTCCCCATCCGTCTCGGAGTCCACGATCGTGCCAAGACGCTCCAAAGTCTTCATCTCCTTCTCTAGTGAATGTCCCCTTTGTCGAGGACTGGACGACTCTGATACGACACGACAACTTACCTCGGAAAATACCGAATTTCGCCTCACCTGACGCAGAGTCAAATCCTCGACCGTCAGTGACGAGTGCCACGAACTCCTCGTACCTGCATGCCAGCTATCATCAACAATTAAACCCCCCGGATAGGTCCCACTGTATCTGTCCATCGCCGTTGATGTCGCACTCCTTGATAATCTCTTCTATTCGAGTACCCATATAGTCTTCCCCGAGAATTGTCCGGAGATTCTCCAGCGATATCGACCCTGCAAGAGCGAGTTCTCAAGTCCGGACACATGCCCTCGAGCAGGGCGTGCCATTAGGCGGCCATGCACTCAGACGGAAAAGACCCAATAATAGCGAGTCCAGGAGAAGGAGAAGCAAAAGCCAGAGCGACACCCACCAGAGCCGTCTCTATCCATCTTCCTGAAAGCGTCAAGGATAAGGGACTCGTTGTCAGCTATGTGCAGTTCGAGAGAAGCCGCGAGAAACTCTGATACAAAATATACCAATCATAGAGCATCCGGCTATAACTGATTATGCATATAACTGACTGCAGCATAAGTGACTATGTAGACTACATCTCGACCACATAATGTAGTCGAACGTTGAACAATCGAACAGTCGAGACGCTCCCCATCGAGGAGAAGCTCTGCGATAAGAGCATCATTTCGAGGAGAACAAAGCAGTAAGTAGCGGAATACCACGTAGTGTCACCAGAATA